GATATCCAGCAATTCTCCTTTTTTTTTTTTTCTCCCCCCAAAAAGCCTTGAGCAAATTTGACAAACGTCCTTGAGCAAACGCAGACCAGTGAATGTGTACGACGAGACACGGAGGATTCTGCAAAGTGCAGGAGAATGAAAAGTAAATGATGCACATTTTGGGAGTTGACTGCAACTCCCATGTATTTTTTCAACGTTAGTAAGATTTTCACAAGTTTTCCTAAGTTGGAAGAGATGCACAGACTCCAAAAAATGTTACAACCAAAATCCTCATCATCCAGGATGTTATAAAAACAGCAACCACCTGTTGGACCTTTGCACCTGACCTACAACTACCGAAGCTCTCGAAAAAACCAAGCCAACATTTTCTAATCTTCACCATCGCTTCTGACTTTACAACAAAGTCATCCCTGCTGTCCATGTCAGGTACCCGGAATTCTACAACTCTTTACCGACCATTTAATCATTTCAATCAACTCAAGCCCTGGGGCGTTTGTGCAGGAGCTAATTGATCGTCAAATCCTGCCTGAGATTATACCAGAGAATGATGCAACACAATGACAGAAGGAGCGGGAACACTTACCTCTGTCCCTTGCTTTCCCGAATGGCCTCGTCAGCCGTGATGGAGATGCTGAGGGCTCCGGGATTTGGCCAATGGTGAGAGGTCGTACAGGGTGCCTTGAAGAGGGCGGGTATGTGTGTGAAGCCTGTGTGTGTGTGTGTGTGTGTATGTATGTGTGTGTGTAGGTCTGTGTGCTCTGGCAGACCTGAGTGCCCTGCCGCTTATGTGCGAAGGTAGGCACTGAGACTGATTGGAATGAGGCAGATTACTTTTGGTCACTTGGAGTTGCACCCACCCCACGGTGTCTTAAACACACACACACACACACATAACAACCCCACCACCAGCCCACCCTTATGACAGAACTCCTACAAGAGAATCCTTTATTTTTACAAGAGTGCAGTTCAATTGGCCTGGGATATTTGTCCGACTTTTCCTGGGGTGAAGCTTTGGCATTGCTTTCATGTATGGGGGAGATCCATATCCACCGGGTCCCTGGACACAATGGGATCTCTGTGAGGAGCCTGTGTTAGCATGGTGCTGAGAGGAAGTCCCTGCTTGGAGAAAGGCCTCTGCCCTCCCTTTCTGGTTGCTGCTAATTTCTCTCTGCACTTGCTGGAGCTATTCTGCCGTAACCTCAGATCTGGATTAAGCTGAGAGATCACTGGGTTTGTCAGACGAGTCTGACCTCTATAAGTGAAGCGAAAGGACGGACAGAGGATACTTCCCTTTCAGGGTACCTTGAAAAAGATAGAGAGTCGGGGACACACACACAGGAAGTTGGTGGCTGATCTCACCCTCCAAAGTGGGTCACATCTGGCCACAACTTTGTCTCAACCTGCCCACCTCTCACTCCTGTGGTAACTCTAGACCTTTTGATGAGTGAGAGGAAAGGGACTATTAGAGGGACGGCCAGAAATCTTTCTGCACCACCATAAACTAGGATTTAGACTCCGGACGTTTGTTTTGTTTTTGTTTTTTGTCTTGATGCATTGATGGATGTGCAGTTAGTCCGACAGAGTGCATTAAATGGAACTCGAGAGTTCATTTTGATAAGTCATTGATAACAAGACATAGCAGACTACTGGGACACTCGAGACTATAAATAAGGGGCGTACAATAGTGTTGCGTAAAACCTAGTAATTTAGTGCATCAAAGGTGTCTTTGTTTTCATGTTCAGTGTAGTTAAATCCAAGACTGAACAAAAAACAGGTATCTTCAGGTTACTTTCTATTTGAGATTACTGTAGCTGACACAGAGAAAGAACAAAAAAACCTTATATAGCGCAGGGTTAACCGAAATATATCTTAATACAAACAAAATCTAACTAGAAATAGGTCAAAGTTAAAAAAAAAGGTTAAGATTTTAAGACTTGGTCAAGAGTGAAGCTACAAATGATCCAAAAATCTAAACCTAATACTCATTGATTTAACTCCTAAAATATTTAAATCTGCACAGATGTGCATATTAATCCTGTTAATCTCCCATGGATACCTGATCACATGACAACTAAAAAGTGCTCCTATTGGCTACAGGGCCAATGGGGCACTGACCATGTTTATTGTTTAGTATTGATTAGTTTGATATGGTATTAGTGTCAAAGAAATAAAAAGACATTTTAATTTGAAATTTTATTAAAACCTGAATCCGTATCACCTAAATATCTAGCTTCATATTCCAATCTTTTAATAATTAAGCACAATTTGAATGATAGTTGGAAATTATTTATAAAGAAAATATACCATGCATGCTATTGGACTCTAAGATAGCTCCCTTTGAAAACCCCAATTCAAAAAATACTAAATATAAATAAATACCTACAGTACATTAAGACATCAGTAAAAAAGATCAGATTCAAAGTTTGACTAACGCTTTGTCTGACAGTTAAAGATGGTTTCCCTGAACATTATGTCTGAATCCTCAATAGACTAACCTCAACTAAAAAGAGAAAAGAAATACACGTAACAGAAATACTTTTTTTTTTCTCAATTGTCTTGCTAAATTACAGCAGGTAAATTTGATGTATTTCCATCTATCATTTATACACAGATGGTAATAATGGCATAAGGCACAACTAGGGGTCAACGGAGAACTGGTTTATTTACGTGGGTCCACAAATGTCCTGGTATCGAGCCTTCAGGACTCAGCAGTGTTCATGTTGTTGTTCAATCTTACCAGCGACAGATACAACTGTTGTTTAGATGACAATGGACCTCAGCAGACGGAAACACATGATGACATCCATCGAAATCGGCGGCTTGATTTCGTTGCCGTCCAGTCGCAGGTAACGCAGTCGAGGAACACTTTCATTGATGGAGTCGTCAACAGTGTCGATGGACACAGGGCAGAGGATGGATCCAGTTACATCTGCGGGAAAAACATAATTGAGGTTATACACTTAATAATGGATTTTTTAATTTTTTTTTTTCAAAGGGACATTTTTTTATAGACCAACACTGACTTACTTCTGATTTGGTTGTGGTCAAGGTAAAGGTGTTCAAGATCTGATGAAATCATCGGCACCTCTGTCAGTTGGTTGTGGGACAGTTGCAGGTCCAAAATACTAGAGACATTGAACACATTTTTGGGAATTCCACTACTGCCAAGCTTGTTGTGGTTGAGCCTCAGAAACGCCACTTTGGGCAAACCTTTGAAGTAACCTGCAGGGATCTTCTCAATGCTGTTGCCGTCAAGGAACAGCTGCGTCGTGGTGGCTGGTAAACCCAGAGGCATACTGGTCAGCTGGTTCTTGGCCAGGTTGATCTGTACCAGATTACTGAGACCTTTTAGGCTCACCTCAGTCACTGCATCGTCCATCAGCTTGTTCCCCTGAAGGTCCAGAAGGTTAAGCTTATCCAGACCCATGAATACCCCAGCAGGGATCTTGGAGATACGATTCCTAGAAAGACGCAGTTGCTCCAGGCTGGCAGGTAGTGGGGAGGGCACGGAAGATAAGAGGTTTTCATCTATGTACAGGTGCTCCAGTTGAGGCATGGCCTCCAGGACACCTTCCTCTACTCCTTCGTTCGTGATCTTGTTGCGGTTCAGGTTCAACCAACGCAGCTGTGTTGCATTACGAAGTGCATCTGCCGACAGCACTTCTATCATGTTGTTCTGCAGGTAGAGATACCATGTGCTGGAAGGGATCTTAGGGATACTCTTGAGACCTTTGTTGTCACAGTAGACCGCATGGGGAAAGTTGGGTGGACAGTGACACTCCCGAGGACAGGCCTCGATCTGGGACATGTATTCTTCATATGGCATGTCCTGGTTGAGAACTGGTAGAACCAGACAGAGGACGTAGAGTAGACTCAGAAGAAGTGCCATCCCTTTATACAGTAGGTAACTGAAACAGAGTAAATTACATATAAGCTCATCAATCGCTAGGTATGAAAACACACACCGATAGCTGCAGACAGATCATGGCTTCATCCTCACAGGTCAGTACTTTGCCTGCGAGCAACAGATTAGGCTTCAAAGACAGGATGTAGCTTTAAAGGCATTAGGATGGCTTGGGTTCAGATTTGGTGACTTTGCATGTCAGAGCAGTTCTTATCCAGATTTGTCAAATGTACAGGGCTGTGAACACTGCACATCTTTAAGAAGTAGTAGAAGTACAGTATAGATTTGTACAATGGGTTTAAAGTTAATGTATAAAAGCTGGGGTTGCCTGAACAGATAGTTAGCATAGCAACATTTGCTTATTTTTACATTGAATGGACCTCATGGTGCAACCCTAACTCTCGCAACCTAGAACCAATGAAACATAATTGAAAATACCAGTATTTTAGTTTAGTTTCTCGCAACCTAGAACCAATGAAACATAAAATGAAAATACCAGTATTTTAGTTTACATACAAATGTAAATGGGCTGTCATTTAAAAAAGTGCTTCTGCTTCTGAAACAGTTTGTCCAGTTGTCATGTAGAAACCCTTGGAAAGTTTTTTCCATCACTCATCCAGTCAACAACATAGAATGAAATGCATAAAGAAGCCAAATGAAGTGTTTGACACAAAATACAAGTCGAATATTAAAAAAAAGGATATAATCATCCAGGATTAGGAAAGCATAATGAATTAAAATACAAAATTCAAAGATGTACTAGATTCCTCTCAGTTTCCATCTGGTGCTGGTTTAGATTTTTTTATTCTCTTTGCTCAAGATTTGTCTGGAACTGATTTCAGACAGGCTACGATTATTCCTCGAATGGGCACAGATGAAAAGACTCACCCGACACACCTGTCTTAGAAAGGAATAGGAAGGAATGCCAGTGTCTGGGAGAATCCCACCTTACCTTAATGGTGGGAAGGTCTCTCGTGTATTTCTTCCTGTGTATGTGCTCTATGCTGCTCCTCTCAGCTGTATTTGTAGCTGTGGCTCATTCATTCGGTCTGTGCCAGCCTGTCAGTCTTGATGACACTAAAGCTTCTCTCGGCCGTTCAGACGTCTCAGAGATCAAAAGATCATAATCCTATAGCATAGTTCACTAAGCCCACTTAGTGCCTTAGACATGACCTACTAAGAAGTGGGCTAATGTAAAACCTACATCTTTGTATTTTTTAAAGTTAAAATAACAGGAAGTGACTATAACTGAAAAACAACATTTCCATTAAGGAAGAATATTCTGATAAATGTTTTTTTTTTTAATTTGTTAAGTTATATTAATACTGCAATTAACACAGTTTTATATCAGATGTTTATTTTAAGAATTCCATATATAAAAATATACCATGAACACGAATAATTACAGTACTTTTCCAAATTTTTAGGTCAAATCTCTGTATTTTTTTAAAATAATTTTTATGGTAACTTGATAACTTCCCAGCTGCTGGGGTATTTGAGTTTTGTTTTTGTTTTTTTAGAGTGCAGATTTCCACATGCACCATGAGGTATGGTCCACAAGTACAGGATTCTTTGTGAGACATAGATAATGGCCTTAAAAAGAAGGTCATTGTTAATCTGGGGGGGTCTTGTTGCATGCTAACCTAGCATCATGCCTCCCTACAGTAGCTAGTGTCAGGATCAGTGACCTTACGCAAGACTGTATTAATTCAAAGCCATGACGGCCGAGGTTTTACTTTAGCAGGATAATCCCTTGGTGTGCGGATGGATTGAAACCACACTTCATTGGTGAGACAAGACCATTAGGGAGTTCCACCTGTGTTTGCCAAAGAGCCTTGATAAGAGACATGAGTCCTTTTCACATGTCCACAGTCTTACGCAGACAGATTCTATTCCTGACAAGGTTGTAGAAACTGTACGTCACAAAGCTGTTTCATGTTGTCTTTCAGAACTAAATGTTAGGATCTAATCATTAATTCCAAACTAGTCAACTAACCCTAACTGATAGCAACTCCACCTTCAGCTATTTCATTTTAGGTACAGAGTATAATTTGGTTCTTGTTTTGCTGGCTAAGATGTTGCTAAGTTTCTATTAGCTATATTTACATAAATGTAAATATATAATAATAATGTATAAATGTATGGGTTTGCTCCTTTTGTAAGCATACTAAGCTTATGATGTTGATAGTTGAATAATATTAAAATGACTTTTACTTAAGTTACACCGTTTGTATGTCACATTTTATTTCTGAATTAATAATAATAGTCAGATTTCTGATATCAGCTGAATCCAACATGTACGGTTTGCAAACAAAAAAAAAACACGCAGTAATCTGTCTGACTAAATCAACACACTTGCGGAGGAATATGATAGGGCTAATTTCCTGCCAGACACTTTGTTTCAGTGCCAGTTATGTTAATTACACCACATGACTATATTTGTATTTGGGTTTTTGTGGGATTGGATCCCAATTGAAGGCTCTGCTGAATCTATGATTCCATGACAGCGATGGTTTTGGAGGAGTTAGCATCCAGAGACGAGACAATGGCAGTGTTTAAGGATAAGTATTGTTTTTAGAAAAAAAAAAAACAGGTCTGGCAGTACGTTTGACTTTCTAAGAGATGTGTCATTTTGAAACCACTGCTGTTTTCTCCTCTGCTTCACTGATTTCTAGGTGCAAACTTGTTTGTAAAACAACTTTAACCCTGCTAATTACAAAAATGCTGATCTCAGAGTCGATGTTCAGAACTGACACTCATAAACCAGGCTGATGGCTGGCAACAAATCAAATATGGTAAAACATAAAGTAAAATATTTATTTATATTATACAGTACAACTTTACATTTTTTATAGCTACATGTTTTCTGATGCATTTGACAACTTAAAAAAAACAAAACCATTTTTTCTACTCCTTTACTTTAAAAAAATTGAATAAACTTTACCTTCTCTCCGGCTTCTGTAGGAAACAACGTCAAGGCTGACGTTCTACCACGGCTTTGGCCTCCAACAGGTCTTCTCCTGCTGACCTGGTTCTGGTTGCACCTTCTACCTCTGGGGAACTGGTGGTAAATGAGAAGCTTCGCAGCTGAGAGCAACTTTCAGAGTTTGTGTTGTCTACTTTTCTGCCAGCCCATCTTTTTTCTTTTTTTCCCCCTGCTTCTTCTTTTGTTTGGAAACTGAAGTCATCTCTGTGATGTCATGGGGTTAAACTGCTGCCACCTCCCCACCCTGGGGATGAGAGCCTGACCTCTTTACTAGCATGTTGAAGTTCAGAGGCCTTGGGTGGGTTTATTATCCTGTCAGGTGTCTTCACTCAGACAATTAACGTCCAGGTTTTTCCACAAGAAGCTTCAGTTCTATCAATCAATATCTTCTTTTCTTTGTACTTTGTTTTCATTATTACTGACTTGGGAATGTAATTGTGAAGTGCCTCCCAGAAGCACTTTGGTTTGTTGTGGTAAAACAGAAGCTTTAGACCACAATTAAGTTAATCTGCATAGTGTTTACAGTGATTCATACAGCAAACATCACACAAAATCTGGTCTGAGGACCCAGTTTTGCACATGGATGAGGCTAAAAAAGTCCATGTTCTTTTTTTTTCTTTTCAAACTTCTTCATAAAATACATTTTTCTAGCATGTCTTTAGAATTTAACTTATCTGGCCAAACCAATCTTTACTCGGTTTGTGCTAGTACCAATACTAACATACATTAGGGCAGGGGTGTCAAACATACGGCCCGGGGGCCAAAACCGGCCCGCTAGGCAGTTCAATCCGGCCCACTTGATGAATTTTGAAAATGGAAAAAAAAAAATACACACAAATACTTCATATACTTGAATATCATGATATTTTTTTTGGTGAAAATTAGATTTCATTACATATAAATGAATATTAATAAATAAACAATATATGTCTTTAAATGAAAATAAAAGAGAAAAACATTGTTAATTATAGTTAATCATGTTATGTTTGTACTGGTCCGGCCCACCTGACGTCTAATGACGTTGTATGCGGGCCGTGAACCAGAATGAGTTTGACACCCCTGCATTAGGGGTTTGTTATTTATTTGTTTTTTGTTTTTTTACTACTTAGTGTTCATATCCTTTAGCTATTTTCCATGATCATGACCATTGATATTTCTTAAACAAAAGTCTAGCTATGTTCAAAACCATTTTTTCAAATTTATTTTTGACTATTTATTAGCAATGCCTTAAATGACAATGTAGATACAGATCAGGGACAGCGGACACTAACTGGACAGACACAGAATATTAATAAAACCAGATTAACAGAAGCCAGAACAGCTGCTCTTTAAAGTCCAGCTGTCAGCTGAAACAACTGATTATACTTTCACCATCCCAACTCAGCACAAGGATGTGAGGCTGAAAGTTTCTATGAAGGACTTTATTGTCTGGACACAGACAGCGGCAGGAGCGTAGCTGTGGATTTTTAATAAGAGGCACTCTGGAGAAAGAGGAGGAAATTGTCTGAGATTTGGAACAGGTACAAGAAAGCCTACAAAAACATGTGAAATGTAAAAAAAAAATAAAAAAAATGCTTGAATAAGCACATATCAAGTTGTAGAAGCAGTGTCAGTGAATAGATGACTATTATTTTTACCTCCTGGCTTGTCTCACATTTATTTAGGCACCACAAGATAGAAATAGTACTTATATTAGATGGTAAAGGGAAGTAGAGGTTTAAAATGACCTATTACTTAATGACAGACAGAGTTCCCAGCTGACTCTCGTTTTCATAAGTGGCTCCAATTGAACGTGTAGCTGACTCTGACATCTGGCTGTAATAACAGACACCTAGTCCCAATCGAATGGGACATCTGGGTAGAACTGACATTATGACCAATTACCACAAATCTAATCAAATAACCTATTGACTCTGAATGGTTTCTGAAAATAAGAGACTGTTAGAAGCAGGACTGAGTCATTCCAGCACATGTGGCCAACATTTGGAGTATTAGTAAGATAAGACTTTATTCATCCCACACCACAGAACTTCAGTAGTAGTAGTAGTAGTAGTAGTAATAGTAGTGTATCCATGCTAATTTACAGCCAACCAAAACCAGGATTGCAGTTTTTAATATTCCAATCATTAAAAAAAAAATCTACTACTACTAAAATACAGGAGCTTTTTAACGATTAGTTTTAAGTTAATAAGTAATTAACTATACGACCATTTAGAATCATGAGAAATTTTAAAAAAAATTGTATATAATAAAATATATATGCTTACAGACACGGTGCTCAACTCTGATGTCCGGTGACCGCCGTTAACGTATCCATTTCCGGTAACGACGGACGTGTGAACAGGCCCACGCAGTCTCTTGTTGTCACGGCGCCGCTCACCGGCTCGTGTCCCCCGTGTTTTCCTCCTCAGGTCCCGGGGCACCTCGAGTTTCTCACGGGGCGACCTCCGCAACGCTTCGCAGCGTTAACAACTGACGCCGTTGTCAACGCTTAGCCGTTAGGACTGCAGAGCGCTAACACTGGTTTAAATATCGGCATTAGCTGTTAGCGCTACGGAGCGCTAACCCCACCTGTGAACTGTTTTTGTGCTAAACCTAACCCAGGGACGTTGTTACTGAACATGTGTGACTGCTGGATGATGTTGTTTTATTTGCCAGCAACACAGGAAGTTCTTTCTACCTGCACAATGGACCAGCAAATAAATAAAAGTCACTACGGCCACATAAAAGATGTCCGCAGTAGCACAAGGAAGTCTTTTTACCGCCATTTTACCGTAATGTCGGTCATGCTTCTTTAAAATAAAATATCTTTCAAAATAAAAGTACTGACCCATATAAGCAGGATTTAACATTACATTAAGTCCGTCACACATAGACTAGTGACAATGCTGTACTCTGACCATTTCCGTTAGCTCGGAAATGGCCTAAATCAATGATTGTGGCTCAGAATTTTGTGGAGAGTTTTTTTTTTTACCTTTCTTTTAAATTCACAGGGTTGTTTTGTATGTGTGTGAACTGTGAATAAAAGAAAATCTAATCTTGATTCATTTTTGTTTACTTATTGATTAATTGTTTTTGTATCCCTGAAAGACAGAAAGAAAACAAAATGAAAAGAAAAATCGACAAAAGTGCAAGAATTTGGGGGAAAAACGTTCATTGTTGATATTTTAGTCCCCAAAATTCCCCGTACTGTCAGAAAATGCCCCAAAATATCCAACCATGTGGTTAATGTTGAAGAAATTTTGTCAGTAGTTAATCATATGTCATACTAAAATAAAAAAAAAATAAAAAAATCAACCACAATTCAAACGCTGTATATATTTTGATCACACAATGGCAAAAAAAAAAAAAAAAAAAAGTCATATCTTGGTATGTCAAAAATTGACATTTAGCTACTGAAGTTTCAATATACACTGTTATAATTTTTTTTACTAACCTGTATTTTAAAAATGTTGAAAAATGCTTTAAGCATCTCAAATTTAGGATTTTGGTCCAAAGCAATTGAGAAATTACATAAAGATGTTTAATATACGATTATGAATAAATTAATGAAAATATTTTTTATTTAAAAATGTGTTCAAATCAAAATTCCCCAAAACACCTTAAGAACCATTCACCTCCCAACCCCCATATCTTGTGGTGCACCCCTGTTTATGCTCTGTTATAAAACAGGCAAACTATGATATATTCCCATGCCTTTTAAAGATCTTCTAAATTGTTCACCATTATATTATATATTTATAGTAATACAAATGTCAATGTATGTAAAGGCATCTTTGACTATTTTAACCACATTTAAATGAAAAAGGCAAAGAGCCTGTGGGCCACATCAAACCTGGCCAAATTCCCAGGATGGGTCCGTGAGCCCCACTTTGGATGTACTTCACCTAAGATGTAGCCTTTTAGTCTTCATTACATTGCTGCTTTGGCAGTGTTTTAAAAATCTCATACAAATATCATACAAATACTTTGAAAACATAGTTTATTCAACTGTTGTTTTTGGTTTCCCCACAGTAGATCCAAGAGCAGTTACTGAGTCAAAGGCCAAACAGGAAATCACTTTAAAATGACAAATAAAAACCTAAACAATAACGGGAGATATTCTAAAAAAACAGAAGGAAAAAATGAAAACAAACAAAAAAACACACACACTGTAGATCCAGGAAGAACACGTGAGCAACAACGTACCAATGAAAGCACCTTAACTGCAAAAGCTGTACTTTATTATAAAAGAATGGTACCATTGGATGCATGCAAGTAGGTAATGGAAAAGTTTACAAATACAGCAAGTGAAAAAAATAATAATAATTAAAAAAAATGAAGAAACATTCTTTCATGATTTCATAACGTTGGGTTCCAGGTGTTTATCAGTACCAACGTATATTTCTATCAAAAAGACGTCAAACGGTGGGACATCATGTCATACTTGCTTTAAGACGTTAGATATAAAGTAGGTTAAAAAAAAATATAACAGAAACAAGATATAAACACACGTTAAGATACTGACAAATTAGACTGCAATGTAACTGCTATTTTACAATTTGATCTCAACCCTCGATGGTACTGTGAAGCCATGAGGAAGAGAAAATGTTTTTTTTAACTTTTTCTTTAAATGGCGTCTTTACATTTCATCCTTTCAAAAACATGCCGTCAATAAAGGATGTTGAATTTATATTTATTTTAATTTATGGTACATGTTGACCAACTGTATAAAATTTCTTCAGATTTCATTCAGTCTATTTTTAAGAGATCCAAACGTAATGGGTACGTAGACGGTTAACTTCCCACAATCCTCACTTGCTGATCCTTTGCGCAGCAACGGACGACTTACTGTACCCACATTATATTACACATGCCTTACACTGAACACAAAAGACGGACGACAGACGGACACTACAACTAAAGTCAGACACTGGAGAACTTAAGCTCTCGGCCTCTCCATAAGATCTGTATACTACTTCTTCTAATACTAGTCAGGAATGTTTCTAGTGTGTGTTGAATCAAAGCACTTAAAGCTTTTCTTTTCTTTCTTAAATTCATATCACTTTACGTTTTTCGTTCGTTAACCTGATCAGTTAAAGTTTGTATCTTTTTTTTCTCTACAATTTGGCTATTCATATTTATAGACAAACGTAAAATTTGACTTGTGTTTTTCCCATTTTCATCTGTTTCCGATTTAATCCAGTTTCACATATATTCCAGATGACATTATCAATGGATCTCTATCAAAATCGCTAGGATACGGGATTCCGCAAGGCCTTTTTGGGTGTCGTGTGGCGTACGGGACGTCCTTATTCAAACATGATGTCTGAGGCTACGCGCAGACACTCGGAGTAGTTGACGGGGAAGCTGTTATGTGTGACGTTGTTGCCGTCCAGGCGCAGGTGTCTCAGATGGGAGAAGCTCATGGGTGTGATGTACTTGCAGAAACTCGCCAGGTTGATCTCTGCAGAGATTTGCAAAAAACAGGTCAGAGGTCAGAGGTCAAAGAAAGTTAATTAAAAATAACCATGTGCCCTGTGTCTGAAACATTTATCTGTTATTCTATATTTTTGGCTAACTGGGGCTATTTCTGGTTTGCAATTAACAATTTTATTAGCATTATTTAAGCCTGAATCGTTTCTTTTTTCACAACTATTTTTCACTACTTATTAGCATTTTGTTGCTTAATCTTTGTTGCCAACTTTGAGCTATTTCTTAGCTAACAAGCTAATTGTTGTAAGGCTACAGAGCCAGACTATGTCTCTGCTACACATTAGCTCGGCTTTGTATTTTGTGCTATGCTATGTTTTGAAGCAAGTCAAACTAGCTTTGTGGCATTTATTGCTAACTAGCTGTGGAAGGCTAGCTCAACATCTGATGCTAAAAAAAAATTTCAAACTCTGTTGGGTGGTTCTGTCTTTTTACTTTCATTATCCAGGGGGCGTTAAAAGCTTTTATTGTGGTAATTTTTATTTAATTTAGTTGTAACAAGTGCCACTCACTGCTGATCTCGTTGGCCTGGAGGTAGAGTTGCTCCAGCTGCTCATTAATCTCAGGGATGGACTGCAGCTTGTTGAAGGACAAGTCCAACTCCACCAGCGACGACACATTGAAAACTCCGGCAGGGATTCCTGAGTCCACCAGCTTGTTGTGGGAGATCCTCAGGTACTGCAGGGCAGGCAGCTTGTTCAGGTATCCAGACCCAATGCTGTCAATGTCATTATAGTCAGCATACAGGACTTCAAGTGAGCTGGGGACACCGGCCGGCAGCTTCTTCAACTTGTTGTGGCTCACATCCAGGGACAGCAGCTTCTTGGACCCTTTGAAGGCACCGGAGATGGATTCTGAGGTGAGCTGATTGTTCTGAACATTGACGGTGGTCAGATTTTCCTTGTCAGACAGGAGTCCTGAAGGGAATTTTGTCAACTTGTTATGTGTCATCCTAATCTCATCTAGGGACTTTGAAGAAGGGATGATGGGCTCCGTGATGTTGTTGTAGCTGAAGAACAGTTTCTCCAGAGCACTGAGCTTGTCGATGGTTCCCTTCTCTATCTTACCATTGGTGAGCTGGTTGTGATCAAGCACCAGCCAGCGGAGGTCAGCAGTAACGTTATCGAACACTCCGGCCTTGATCTCTTCGATCTGGTTGTTCTGGAGGTAAAGGTACTTGATTCCTGTTGGAACTATGGGAACGTACTTGAGGTTGCGGCTGTCACAGTACATGGCAGTGGGGAAAGTGAACGGGCAGTCACACTCTTGGTGACACCGGGGCCTTGGGGGCTCTGGTGGAGCAGCAGGCGCGTATTCATAGTCATAATACTGGCACAGGGCCACACTGACCAGTATGGCCAGTAGGGGAACACGTAGAGGAGACATGGTTCTCCTGGGGGAGGAGTGAATGAGGAGGCAGAGAAAACAAGAAATGAAGCAGAAATGGTTAGAAGAAGCAGCTCATAGAGTGTCAACATATTTAGCTTTTTTTTTTTTTTTTTTTTTACATTTTTTAAAAAAATTGAAAGAGATCTCCGGGGGGCCCTCCCTCCTTT